GAACTGGTCTGCAGGGCAGAAATCCTGCGCCGTGGGGGTGCTACAGAGGTTGGGGGGACAGCAGCCACTGCCTTCAGCTTCCTTTTCCTAGGGGATGTGCTGAGGGTTGTTGCAGAATTGGGCCAAAACATTCTTTTCTGGTGAGAAATCTGTTTTGTTCTGTACTGACTGTGAGGCAAGAGCGAGCTCCCGGCCACCCCGCTGCAGCGAAGTTTGCCAGCACCCGGCCCTCCCACAGCATCACACCCCCCCCCAGCCCTTTGCACCACCTTTGATTTCTCTGTCTCGGAGCAATTGCAAATTTTCAGAGCCTGAAGGCTCGGGGCTAAGCGGGGGTAAGTTCAGGGGTGCAGTTGTGTGTTGGCATCATTTTTTTTCCTGGGTATTTGAATGGGAAACCTAGCTAAGAGGTTAGCTTCTCCTCGCCGCCTGCGAGGGGTGGTCGCTGGGCTCGGCTGAGTCACGTCACACTGAGGCCCGATGTTTTGCGCTCTCTGGTTTTATTTTGGAGCAACAGAAGAGAATCTGCAGTGAAGCAAGAAGCAGAGGGAGCTGACAGGCTGCACGGGGAGCTCGAGCCAAGGGGAAATGAGTGTTGTGCAGAGGCTCGCGCTGGTTTCCGTCTTGCTGTTCGCAAGGACGAGGCGCAGGTGTCCACCCCTCCCTTGTTTTTCTGTGCTGAGACATTGCATCTGCGCTGCTCTCCCTCCTCGGATCCAGTGTATAATGATGCAACTTCACGAGAGGGTTGTTGTCCTTGTGTTGAAGCCAAAAAGCCCCGAGGAGGAGACCTGCCAGGATGGGGAAATGCTCCTACATCCCTTTTCTTACCAGATTGGAGGTGGTTTTGCAAAAAGCCCTTTTGCTTCAACACTGCCCGGCTCGTCCCCGGCACTTGCTGCGACGCCGGAATGAGCCCTGGGGTGCTGCCCCAAAAAGGGCACCGCAAATGAGGGAGATGGTCAGGAGAAAGGCGTCCCGAACCGCGACTGCGGGGACTCACGGCAGGTGGGGATTCTTGCCCCGGGCACCGAGAGGGGCTGGATCGGTCCCACGCGGCACCGCCGCGCAGCCAGCCTGGCGTAGCAGCAGGCACGGCGCAGGCAGCACCTGCCGTGCGGGCCTCAGCCGAAACGTGGCAGTGGCTGCTTCTAACCTACCTGAAACAGGCTCTGCAGGCAGGGTGGGGAAAGCCAGCAGCATTCGCATACTCCTCCAGCTCTGAATTGCCCTGGAGCTGCTCTTCCCTGTTCCCACACTAAGCCTCTTCTGTGCTTCCCCGCACAACCCCTGCCCAGCTCCGCCAGCCCTTGTGCATCCTGGCTTCGGGACTGTCCCTCTCCTCCAAGTGCCATCCCGTTGACTTCAGGCAGCTGTCGCTGGCACGACCCTACTGCCTGCCAGGCTGGAATGAGGGTTGAACGCTGCCTTGCTTTCCCCGCTTCCCTAAAACCTGTTCCCTTCTGTTGCTGCCCATTGCCTGGTCTGCATTTTGCAAAGCTTCAGAGGATGCTGCTGGGCTTGCTCACAAGCCCCAGCGTTACCCCGGGGCCAGCGTTAGCCCTCCCGGGGCCAGCGTTAGCCATCCTGGGCAGCATTGCTTGTACCAGTCCATTGACGTGCCGCTGCTGCCCTGTCCCGAGTAACAGGCTTGGGCAGTCAGATTTCCTACGGTGCTTCCCTCGAGTCCTGGTGCGAACGTGCGGGGGTGCTTCCCGTGAGCCGTGAACACACCTAGAGTGACCAGAAAACGGGATTTTTGCAAGTTATACGCAGAAATGAGGCCCAGGGAACCAGAGGGGAGAGGAGAGCTTTGCTGGGGGGCTCCCCATGGCATGCCCGGGGGGTTTGGGGATGCTTCCCGCATTGATGTGGAGTTGCAGCCTGACCCCCGTCCGTGCGTCAGGGAACGGCTGCACTTACTGCAGGCGGACAGCACCGCCAGTGTCAGCAGGACCTTCATCTTCCTCTCAGCGGGGCCTGGGAGGAGAAACAGGCGGCAGACTCAGCCAGGCAGTGTGGTCGGTCGACGGACACTGCTGTGCAAACCTTGTCCCTCTGAAAGCAGGTCAAATTGCCCCGAAATTCAGAGGGAGGAAGGCAGCCGTGCCCACTTGCATCTGTGTTGCTGCCTCTTGGCCAGATGCAAATGCTTTCTGCAGCTGTCCCACCACCCGCGCATCTCCCACCTCCCACCCCCCCACTTTCGGCACCCAGGGCACGGCTTTGCAGCAGCAGTGCAGCCATCGCCCTGGAGCTGCTGCTTCCCAGCTGAGTTTGTATCTGAAAGCAAGGACACTTCATCTACCGGCGTGGAAAACAGCAGAAAGCAGCATGCCTGCTGCCTCCTCCCAGCATCCCCCCCGGATTTTCATTTCCGCAGCAGCAATGCAACCGCCCCACTGCAGCAGCAGGGCGAGGGTGGGAGTCGCTCACCGGGGGATCGCTCCGGCTCCGCGTCCTCGCTGCCAGCCCGTCCTCCCAGGGAGAGGCTGCCCTCCGTGTCCAGCCCGCAGGCTCTGAACTGGGAGTGCTGAAACGACTCGTCTGTCCCAAAAACACATTATGCTACGCCCCTTCCCTCGCCGGCCAAGCCTCCCTCTCCCCATGGGCTACAGCCCGGAGTGACGCAGGGGCCGAGACCGAGGTTTTGCAAAGTTTGGGGAGGATGACATTGAGTGTTTATGGGGATTTCTCTCTCTGCCCAGCAGCAGCTCACAGAGGACTGGAGTGGTTTAACGCATTTTTTATTTTCACATTGATTAAATTTACAGCAGCACTAACGTGGTCCGTGCAGGCAGGGGTGTCAGGCAATCCAGATGCGTGCTCTGGCCCCGCATCCCAGCTTCCATCACCGACACCAATGCCTGAGGTAGAAGCGGTAGCGTTTGCTGTAGCTCTTGATGCTTTGCTGGAGGCAGAGGGACAGGCTGCGGTCGCACTCGCAGGAGAGCTGGGCGCACCAGGAGCCCTCTCCTGCAGGCAGAGGGAGGCCCATGGTCAGACCGGGCTTTCGGTGGGGCTGACACCCCCTTTGCCAGGGTCCTACTTACTGCAGGAGGGGCTGCCGTCGTGCCAGTCGTAGTGGTAGCCCTGCTTCTTGCCATTGCAGCCATAGATCAGGAGGTTGTCGTAGCAGGTATCATGCAGCTGGCAGCACCTGTATGGGAGCTCATGGGTTTGGGGTTTTTTCCCCCCCCTACCCCCAAGTTTGAAGCTGTGCAAGGATGTGTTCAGGCAGGGAGATTTTTGAGTGCGTGCTTACCTGTCTGTGTCATCCTTGGGCCGCCCTCTGCCCCCCACACCACAGTAGCAGCCGTAGGAGGAGTAATGCAGCAAGGCGTTTTTCCCCGTCACCTTCGTGATCATCTTGTGCAGCTCCCAGAGGCTCCCGTGAGCCGGGGACAAGCCTAGGGGGGGAAATCAGTGGGGCTCACACTGACACCCGGCTCCCCAGCAGCATCCCTGCACCCCTCCGGCCCCCAAACTGGTACCAGGCTGGTGATGTCTTACGAATGAGTAGGTGCGATGGAGAGGACACTTCTTCCCAGCTCGGTGCAGGAGAGTTGTTGCGTGTTTGGGAGAGGTGGTGATGGGGAGAGGTTGAGAAATCACCAGCCTGGCCCAGATTGCCAGGGATATAACTGCATGGAGAGCCATGGCATGGGTGGAAGCGAGGACACTTACCCCAGGCAAACAGCACAGCAAAGGCGAGGAGAGAGTTCATCTTCTTGACAGCCCTGGGAGAGGAAACCAAATCATTTCCCCATTCTATCAAGCACTTTTCTACTCCCCTCCTTGTTCTGGGGGCAGAGATGCTCCCCACCTCAGGGGTTAGGGGAGATGAGGGCGACGAGGATGGGCCCTTCGCCATCTCTTCGGCACAAAGCACTGCTGCGTTGGTGATCGGAAGCGATGGGAATCGGGTGGCAGAGGGGTGGGAAAAAGCAAAATGCAGGGAAAGGAAGAAAAGTCAAAGGAATGACCGGCCCTCAAGGGTTGCACCCCGCCGCTCTGCTTCTGGGCTGGCATCTCAGATAGCCTCTCCTTTGCTCTTGCTTTCCTGGCATGGACCTCACTCTCTGTTCCACCGTGGCTTTTGGTTAAAGTAGGAAAGGGAGGGAAAGCGTTCCTTCATCCCCGCTTACCTCGGGAAAGCTGCTGCTTGCTTGCAGAGCCCTGCTGCTGGCAGGGCGTTCTTTATATAGGGTTTGCTCCCCGCTGTCGGATACTGGTTTTGCCCAAATCTTGCTGACTGGGCTTTTCTGCAAAGGAGAAGGCACCGTCCTTCCCCTTTACAGGAATGCTAGAAATCCCCCCAACGCCCCGGCTCCGTACCCCACGCACGGGGGCCGTCACTGGGCAACATGAGCAGGAAATGCAGTGACATTTCCAGCCCGAGGAGGAAGTCAACATGCTCTGCCCCTGGCTGGAGATGCCTGAGGACCTTTTTCTCCACCCTCCCCAGCACCACGGTGCCGTACCTGGCAGGGGAAATAATAGCTCTGATTCAGCTGTTACATCCCGGCAGCCGTGAACGAAGCGGGTTGGGGTTTTCAAGGGGTCGTACGGTTTGGGAGCTGTCCTTCGGCCACGCTGCAAAGGCAGTTCAGGGTGAGTTATTGGTTCTGGGAAAAGTATATAGGCAACAATAAAAGCATCCTTAAACGTGCAGTTCCCAGAAACAGAAACATGGGGTTATGCAGATACTGGATGGTTAAACGCTCGCCCACTGTGAGAAGAGAACGAAGCGAAATGGATGGTTTGGGATGAGTTAATGCAACTTCAGGTTGTTTATCTCTGTATGATTTTTCCACTTCTTCATTGCAACACCTATGCAGAACTCATCCCTTATGGAGAAACCATTTAGTCACCAACTTAACTGATCCCCTACATAAGCATCTGCCTTGGGATGGATGGGGCTTTGAAAACTTCTCTCCTCTACGGAAAACCATTCTTCAGCCTTAATTTTGGCCACCTAAGTGTCAGAAGAGAACCTCAAATCATCTCCCACATTTTCCCACTTCCATTATTCATGCAAAAATATCTTTTGGCTTTATCTTGCCTGCCCCTTAATGCACCGCTGAGTTTTAGCTCTGGGAGTGAGTTCAGCTAGCAGGAAGGGCTGTTGGGAGAAGCTAAAAAACCTGACTGCCATCAGGGCTCACCGCTGGGGGTTAACAAACCCCAGGGAGTTTTACTTGGTAGTATTTATTTTTCCCCATTCCTTGACGCAAAGTGCTTCTCCGTAGCAGAGATCCAGCAGCAGCAACATTGCTCTGCAGCAGGACAGACCTGATCAGGGAAGGAACAAATAACTGGCTGTGAATTACAGCTGCCATTGGACCTTTGGATTTTTTGGTCTGCTGTTGGGAACTTGAAAGTATTGGGGTGTCAGGCAGCTGGTGTGAGATGCAAAAGTGTTCCCCAAACTCGGCAGCCCAGATGCCACCATCGCACAGCCTCAATCTCAATGGCTCTTACAGAAAAACACTACGGAGAATAATTTTGAATACCTTTTATTCAATTATCTTTGCTGGGAAATGAAAACAAGAGAGAAAAGCAAGGAGGAAGGGACAAAAAAATAGAAGCTGATGTATCTTTCTGGGAACTGGGGGATCTCCATCCGTAATGTGTGAATGCCCTTCCCACCCTGAGCATCACCTTGTGGGGAGCCTTGATGGCTCCAGCTCTGTTCAGCCCCCATATTGGGCTTTTCTTGCTGTAGCAATGGGGAAAGCAAGTCAATATCTGCAAACTTGGGTGCAGATTTCTCCTCCTCAGCACTGCAGCTTACTTCCTTGGCATTTCAGCTTGAAATAGAAGCGGTAGGATTTATTGTAGGAATCCAAAGTGCTCGCGAAGCACGAAGCCACTGCCTTGTCGCACAGGCAGGTCTCTCTCTTGCACCAGCTCTGCTCGTTACCTGAGGGGAAGAAACACAGTGCTCTGCAGTGGCTTTTCCAGCTGGCATCTGTGATGGGGTGCCCTTGGAGCACCCCTGATGCCTGGAGCAGCCCAGGGGAAGCACATAAAGAATCGTGCTATGGTGCTCTTCCTCTCCAGCCTGCTCACATCCCTTGCAACACCTCCTATGTACACCCGACTGGGCGTCAGGCTGGTTTCATCCCCGAGGGAGATGCCCTCCCTGCTGTGGGGCTGGGGGGTCGTGGGGAGAAGAGCTGGTTCCCCACCTTCATGGGACCCCCCACTCAGCCATACTCACTGCAGACGATGTCTCCGTCGGTGACATCAAAGTAGTAGGGGGTTATCAGGGGTTTGCACTTGTCCTCTCGCAGCCTCCTGTAGCAGCAGTCGTGGGCAAGGCAGCACCTGTGGGACACACGGCCTCAAACCGCTGCCCCCAGCCCTCCCTCACTGTCCTTGGAAGGTAAAGGAAGGTCCAGCCTCAAATTTAAGGTGACCGGGAGGAGGGGATGACAAGGCAGCAGCAATACGTGGCTGGGTAACGGTGCAGAACCCCCTCTTGGAGCACGCCAGTGCCGGCAGGCTGCCAGCCAGGAGCTGCTGCAGGGACCCCCACGCACCCTGCACCAGGGCGGCGAGCGGCAATGCTTCTCCAGGTACTCACTGGTCAGTGGAGTCCACCGGGGTCCCTCTGCCCCCGATGCCGCAGAAACACCCGTACCAGCTGTAGGAGAGCAGGGCGCTTTTCCCCGTGGCTGACTTGATCATCCGCTCCAGCTCCAAAACACTGCCGCGAGCCAGCAGCAGCCCTGCGGAGGGACAGAGGGACAGGCTCATGCTGATGCGGAGCAAGGAGGCTGGCAGCATTCCCTGCACCTCGCACCGGGCAGAGGAACTAAATAAGTCTGGCGTTGCTAGAAATACATCCTTTCAGGCATGTGAACCATGAGAAGCCCCAAAAGCCCCCCTCAGGATTACGCCTGGTTTCTGCAGATTCAGTCTGGCAGAAGATATTACTGCTCTCCATACAGGCTGTGCCACGCTTGTGTCCTGCAGACGGCAACGCCACATTGCCAGGATCAGCCGTGGGCTTGGCACAGGCAGGAAAGTGGGTGAAGACAGGCTCCAGGGTCTCTTAAAATGGATACGGATCTGAGCATCCCAAAGCCTCACCATCACGAAGAACTCCAGGACTACAGCAGTGCTACACAAAGCATTAGAGAGAAACTGCAAAATCTAAGCGAAAACCTGAACTGTGCACAGACTCTGGGTTTGTACGTGTTTTTTGCCATGCAGACAAGATCCCAGTCTGGCCTGGTGAAACCCGGGCACTTACCGCAAGCCAAGAGCATGGCAAAGAGGAGATTCTTCATCCTCGGGCTGGCCCTGGGGGAGGAAATGGCAAAGGCAAGCGATGAGCAGCACCCCAGGGTAGGACAGACGCTGCCCTGTGCCCACACCAGGGGCACGGAGCTGGTCGGGTGCGCCCTGGCAGCACCGTGCGGTGACATCGGTGTCCCCGTGGATGTGCAGCGCTGGGAGGGCATTGCCGTGCCCGACCGCACACGGCTGACGCCCAGCAGGCCCTTCGACTCTGGTTTTGGGATGCGGCGCTGGGCAGGGATGTGTGCAGGGACACAGTGGTTGTCCTGCCCAGGGCTGATGGAGAAGCTCACCGTCTGCAGCCTCCCACCACCGCCCCCCAAGCTGCCTGATGAAATGAGAGGGCAATAAAATCCCCCCTCTCCTTACCCCGCCTGGACTTTGCAGCTCCGAGACTGCTGGCTTAGTGGGTTTGCTTTATATAGATGGCGGGGTCCACCCCCTCCTCTATCTGCGCTGACGGCAGTATTCAGCGCAGAGCTGGGCTCGCCGAGCAGCCCCTTGGTAAAGGAGAAGGTTCCCATCCTTCCCAAGAAACACTAGATTCCCCACAGCATTGTGACACCAGTGACAACGCTCCCTCTGTCACCTCACTGCTGCTCGTCGTCTGGGCAACAAAGCCGTCTCCATCTTGGGCCGACGCGGCCTCTGGATGAGGCCAGTTGAGATCTTGGCCGTGGTTTTAAATGCCGTGGAGTTCGGTGGCTGGAGAGACAGGACGGAAGCGGTTTATGCCCAGGAGGTGCAGAGCTGGCACCGCAGAGGTCGTTGCATCCTTGTTCCAGCTGCAGAGGCGGCACTTTGGCCTTGGTGTTATCCCAAAGCAGGTTTCTCTTGGGTTTTTCCCTTGCAATTGCCCCCTCAAATCCATGTCTGCATCCATATCTGGCCACGCCGAGCGGCAAGGGGAGGCAAAGGGACGATGGTGACTGCTGCGGTCTCATTTTGTGGGTCTGTAGTTCTCCTCTCCTGCCCTCAGGGCATGGGAGACTCCGGGACTGCACGACCAAGGGGTCTGCGAAATTAAATCAGCAGCAGGGAAGGCTGGAGAGGCCATGGAAACCCAACTTGGAATGCTTTTTGAATACAGTTTATTTAATCACTATAACTGAGATATGATACAAAGACACAAGGGAGGCAGAAAACCGGAGGAGATAAGAAACAAAAGCTGCTATCTTCCCTTGAAACTGTGGGGCCGAGAGCAAACACACACACAAACTCCCGGTATCAGTCGCGCATGCAGGGCTCCACCCTCAGTAATTAACCACAATTCTAGGGAAGATTGGGGGGGATTGTGAGAACATGGCTCAGGGCTCTGTATTCATGAAGAAAATCCCTTCTTGAATTTCCTGGGAGCCGCCAAAGCTGCTCGCCGGAAGAGACGAGACGTCACCTCCCGGCTGCCCTCCGAGGCTGGCAGAGATGTCTGTCCCGGGGCTTTTCTTCCCTCTAACCTTTTATTTCCTGCTGCCAAGTGGAATAAAAAGCCATCCAAGCGTGATAAGGAAAGGATGGGTGCAACAGCTCGCCTGCCTCCCTACTCAGGCGTGCCGAGGGGCTTAACCACCTCGAAATGCCACGGTGCCAACCGATGGGCATCACGCTGATGGCCAGACCCCCTGCTTTCCCCACTGGACTTTTAAAACCGCGGCGTCCCTGATGATTAAGCATCCCCTTCCCATCTCATCCACAAAAAACTTTTGTTAGAGAAGATTTTCCCCACTGAGGTGTTCATTATCTGCACCGCTCGTGCTTGCGTGCTTTGGCGTTGCAGGTCCTTGCCCTTCGGGGCAGGTTTGCTGCTGATGGGGAAAGCCGGCCCCGATCTCCTGAGTTTTTGCTGTGGAGTTTGGCTAAACCTGCGTGAAAGGCACCGACCAGGGGCCGAAACAGAGACCAGAGGGCTGCAATCACGCAGACTGGGGATCCACAGGTGGATTTAACCAAATCCCCTCATTTTACGCCCTCCCTCCCTGCGGAGTATCTGAGGAGAGTGAGCACGCGAAGCTAAACCCTCTCTTCAATCGAGCCAGAAACCCGAGGGCTTAAAAACCACCCGTGGAAGTGATGATCTCGTTGGAAATACGGAACTTTGGGGGTATCGACCCGCGGGTCTGTTTGCTCAGGGCCTTACTGAAATGTCAATACGCCCGCAGCTTTGATCTGCCAAGCACGTGTCCTCGGTGCGGTATCGCTGAACATCCCGTGGATGGGACGAGCTGATAGGCAACGGTTTTCTTACTTTTTTAGCGCGCGGGTATGCCTTGATCTTCCCCTGTCCTCAGGGTGGAGATTCCCCATTTGATGGTAGATAAGTTATCTTAATTATTGCTTGTTTCTTGCTGCCTTTGGTGGGCATCTGTTAGCGGGAGAAGCATCTGGTTAACTAGAAGCGGGTTTGAACAGGGATTAACGGGGAGAGATGGAAACGCCAGCGTTCCGGCGCCTGGTCCCACAGCGAAGGCGGGTCGCTCCCAGCCCGGGCGGTGGGGACTCCCCCCCTGGAGTGGGTGCCCGGCTGGCATCTTGGTTGCAAAGTGTCATTTTTTTAAAGGCGTTCTCATCGAAACTGAACGCTTTGGTGTTTATTTGTCCAGTTTTGTTCAGTGATCGCTCAGGTCAAGCGGTTTAATCGCATTGCCGTGAAACTCCTGTCATGGGGGGGTTAAAACCGACTCCCATTGCTCCCCTCCTGCTGCGTTTGCTGACGAGAGGGCATTATACACCGTATTTTTAAACTTTCAGGATTTAAAAAGAAAAATTCCATTTTCTTTTGGAATTATTTTGGAAAATTGCCATTCGAGCGGGGTGCGGACGGCGCGGTTCGGCTCTGGGTGGGGTGGGGGAAACGAGGGCTCCTGCGGGAGGGACAGGGCCGACCCCGGCGTTGCGCTCAGCTACAGGGTCTGGGACCGCTGCCCGGGACAGGGCCCGCTGCGGCCGAGGCCCAGGCCCCGCGCCGAGCCCGGA